CAGAAGGACAGTGGGGGACTCTGTTCGGCCCCACCACCGTGGGAGGCGGACGGGGGTGGCTGGGGGCTCTGAGGGACCCCTGTCACCTTGTCTTCTGCTCCTTGCCTCCCCCAAGGGCACCGTCCCTGCTTCCTCCCCGTCTCTCTGTCGTCCGTCTCTTGACCTGGTCAGCACGGAGCCCTGTCAGGGGTGGTTTGCCCCTGATGTCAGCCGCTGTGCAAGCCCGGGGCCCTCCCCGCATCCGCCCTCCCAGCTCAGCCTTGCTGGGTGGTGGTCTGGGCACCTCCCAAGAGAGCAGGTCTCTGACGACCTGGAGTGTCCCTTCCCCAGCTGGGGGCCGCGGGCACACGTGCCAGGGAGGATGCCAGTCGTAAAGCACTTCTCTCTGTGAAGCCCACCAAGCCGGGGTTGCAGGAGGCCCCTCGGCCGGCCCGGCCTCTCCAGCAGCGGCAGCTTGGGTGCTTTGACCTTCCCGGTCCCCAGCCCCCCTGTTCTGGCCACCTCCGCAGCAGCTGCTTCCTCACGATGGCCCTGGAGCAGTGCTGTCCTGGAGAACTTTCTGCAACTGTAAGGATACCTTAGCTGCGACCCTGAGCTGTGGCCTGTGGCCCCTGCATTGGGCCCGGCAGCCCAGAGGCCACAGTTTCCAACTGAAAACCCGTCAGCCCGAATCGAGGGGGGAGGTGCGGGGGGGGCCAGGCAGGTCACCCCACTGCTGGGCATCCAGCAGTCCAGGGGCTACACCACACTATAGCCAGTGTGCCGGGGGTGTGTCTGTGTGACCCTGGAGCAGAAAAGGGGTGGTAGGGGTGTTTCCAGCCCAGATGCCAGGGGAGCCCCTGGGAGCTGGGGTAGGGAGCCTGCGGGGACTGTCAGCTGCCAGCACTTCGCTGCACTGATGCCATCAGTGGTCACTGCCTCCCAGAGGTGAGAGAGCTGGACAGACACAAACCAGGCTTGTGATGACAGCCAGAACGCGTCCACTAGAGACGTCCCAGAGATGAATCTATGAGCACTTCATCCAGACTATAAGACAGAAACTGTTCTCTCATTTTTCTCAACCGAGGGCTTCTGAGCGCCCTCTCTCTGCAGAGCGACTCTCTTTGCAGGTAAAGTGAACTGATGGTTTTTCAGGTAGCCTCCTGAGCCTCCCGGCAAGGCATTAATGGCCCGGCACCCTGGTCTCTGCATCAGGTGTCTCTGGGGAGGAAGCCAGAGCGCAGCAGGCCGCAGGGGGCTCACCTGTGTGTTGGCCTCACCCAGCGGGGTCCCTGGGCTGAGCCTGCAGGTCTCAAGACGTGAATGCACCTCAAGTGAGGCCCATGCTCACATCCCCCACCTCGTAAGCATCACAGCTGTCACTGCAGCGGGGCGAGTGACCTCCAGGAGCCCGGTCTGGTGCTCTGTGTCCTGTGCTTCCCTTCCTGCAGAAGGACAGTGTCCTCTGTCTCCGGGGACCCGCCCCGGCCCGCGCGTCCACTCGGTGCAGGTGGTGCTCTGGCCCGAAGCCCTCTCGTCCCGGACATGTGTGGGCGCCGGCCCCACATACGGCCTCCCACTCAGTTTTGTGTTTGCTCTCCTAGAAACTGCTGGCGGTGAGGGAGCTGTATCCAATTCTCTGCCACTGGGCTAAAACCTTCTGCCCACCCTCTCAGGGCCCCTGTGCGGCCCACGTTGGCTCCAGCAGGGCCCAGGCTCCTAGCTTCCAGGAAAGGTGCCAGTTAGCGGCCCTGGGAAGGGGCCGGTACCTCCATCCCTGCTCTGCCAAGTGGACGCTGGGGACTAGGAGCCCCAGACAGTGTGCTTTCCCTGACGCCTCCCAGGACACGAAGAGGGCCGGCTCAGCCTGGGGCCAGAGCTCTCCGGACAGGACACTGCCATTTGACCCCTGCCTGGGTGCACCAGGATGCTAAGATGCAGGCGCTCTGGACCCCAACTCTGGGGCAAATGTGGGGAGCTTATCCTGCACGAGGACTTCAAGTCTCCTGCAGCTGGCCACAAGGATACCAATTCAACGCCTGTAACAAACCACACGAAAGGAAGCTTACTTCAAATGAATGTTTTTTCCCCTCAGCTGTATTGATTTACAGATGCTGCCCTGAAGGCAGAATTTATAGGAAATTGTTTTCAAGCCTGTTTGTACAACTGGAAGGTCGTATTTATTTAATGTACCTCAAGGTGTTTTCATAATGGTCAGTGTTTTAATAAAAATTATTTCTGGCCCCTGTGTCTCCGAGGTTTCCTTGGAACCGATGGAAGCTGAGAGCCGTGTGCACCGCCGGTGGCCGGGTCCTGAGGGTGGGCTCAGGCTGGGCGGCCAGCGAGCCTGGGCCTCCCGTGGACCGTGTATTTCCTGGTGTCCTTCTGGAGACGGTCAGGCCCTGGGGGCATGAGGGAGAGCGGGTAGGCGCCCAGACGCAGGTAGGTCCCACTGACCCTGGTCACCAGCCGTCCCTCCACGCGACACGTCCCAGCCTTCTGTGAGGAAATCTGGCTTTACTGTTGATTTTTCAGTGTGTGTGTCATTTGACTGACAGCTGCCCCCATGTCACTTGCTGGCCGTGGATGCCCCTCCAGAGCCCGTTCCCCTGATCGTTCCGGGCACTGCAGGGCTGTCCCCTGGGCGCCCCTGACCCGAGGCCCTTCCCCCCAGCTCTTACTCCTGGGACGTTCCTTCTCATTACCCTGGGCTGTGAGCCACCCTGCTAGTAGCTCCCAGTGTGGGGCCTGTGGGTCGGCCAGAGAAGGGGCCCCAGCTAACACGCTGGCAAGCCCCCACCCCAAGGGCTTCCGACCAAAGCCCACCTTCACCCTGTCTCCCACAGCAGGAGATGCCGGGACCAAGACGGTGGCCAGAGTCAAATCAGTGATGGCAACGCTGCCGAGTCCTGTTACTTTGCAAGACAGACTATTCAGTACCCACAGGTAAGGAGCGGTGCTGGAACACGGAGCCAGCATCCGGACTCACACCGTCTCCCAGAGGTGATTCACCTTTAAACCAGGAGACTCCCTTATTCAAGTGGTTGGAAGCCTGTCCCCTCCAGAGATGGGGTGGGTAGGGCAGGAGCCCACAGACCCAGGAGGGGGGCGTCAGGCCCCCTCCCAGAGCCAGGCTGTGAAGTAGGGCATTCGAGGAAGGCTGGGTGTCCGCCTCTCTGTTAACAAACCAGCCACAAGAGCATCTTTTCATCATGACTCCGGGTTTATTAGTGAGATCAGCGAGTCTTCCTAAGGTCGGCTGCATGCAACACACAGGTCACTCCTCGAATACAGTAATCCTAAAGCTTGAGTTACTGCAAGGTAAGGCTTCTTAAGTCACAGTGTATTCTTCAAGGCCTGGGCCAAAAAAAGAGACTTCCGGACAGAGTGACGTTGGTTCACACTGAGCTCCTCCGGTGGGCGGAACCAGACTACGGCACGCCGGGTCTACAAGCGCCAGTGCTGCCCGCGGGGGCATCCGGCACGGCAGGCGCCGACCTTCCTGGTGTGGGTCTTGCTTCCGAGCGGGGAGCACATGTGTGGCTGCGTGTCTGTAGATGGGGACTGTGACTGGAGGGCCGGCACCAGGCTGCTCTCCTCGTCCCCAGAGGAGGCTGCCGCCCAGGGACGTCCCCAGCAATCAAGGGACAGGCGAGCACAGGAGAGCAGGTGGTCACAGGCATCCAAGAGCCCTCACGTCTGAAGAACGGCCTGTCATCAGTAAAAATCAAACGAGTGATGTTGTCTAAATAAAAGTGGAGGTTTGAGGGTGTGGCCATCACCCTTTATTTCACTCAGGAACGGCTCTTTGCTTGTGACATCCAGTCACACATTCCTCACTGTCATTACAAGTCACATCCTGAGAGCTGACTGCCCACGCTCGCACCAAAGCAGCCCGTCTGGGCCACTGCTGTCCCTGCGGGACCCCAGAGCCCCAGTGAGGGCATCGCCACTGCCCCCCAGAGCTCGCTGCCTTCGAGCGGCTCCCTTCACGTTTGTGGCCACATCTGGAAGCAGCCACGTTCACCCTCCACGGCTCCAGGAAGGGAAGACTCCATAGCACGCAGAGGTACAGTTAAACCCTGCCTGCCACGAGAAAATTCAGGACATGCCAAAATACTCGATTGTTCCACGAAGATGGGTTCCTGTGACCCTCCTTGGGTAAAGACGTACCCCTCTGGGTCCAAAAAAAAAAGTGGGTGGTGAGGACATGGCCTTCTGGGGAGCCCGGGTCCTTGGGGGCTCTGGGGTCTGGGTCAGGTCCTGGGTCCGGCTCCCGCTCCTCGGGGTGCAGGCGGTCAGCCTAGATGTACAGCGGGGTCTCCTGGCCTGTGAGGAGCCTGAACATGGCGGCTGGCATGGTCTTCATGTGGATCTGTCAACAAGAGAGAGGGGCTGGCCCGGCTTCCTGCCTCCGCCTCTCCCCGCTCCCTCCCCTCGATGTGGCTGGATGCAAACCCTCCGAGCATTTCCTGTGTGAAGGCCCTGCGCTCAGAGCGAAGGCAGCGTGACCTGCCTGACCTGGGGACTCACCTGGGCACCCCACCAGATCTGCAGGGGGTTTTACACACAGTCCAGTGCTGGTTTCCCTTCAGCTGGAGCTGACACCAGGAGTGTGAAAAATTGGACTTTTCACGTGATGACAGTTTTCCCACTGAGCTGGGGACAGGCAGGGGTGCCCTGGCCTCCTTAGAAACCACACTGGGAATCAGAGGCTCACACACAAAGTACATGTGCTGGGGTATGGGGCCTCGAGCCCCCCACACACACACACTTTGGGTCTGGCCTCACTTCCTGGCGCCAGAAGGCAGGCACACAAGCAAAGCACCAAAACCACTCCCCAGGGAGGCCGACCGTGTGGGGCACACACCCCAAATCCCAAGGAGGTGGCCCGGCAGACCTCCAGTGCCCAGGGAGAGACTGCTGGGGGCACGGCCATCCCTCAGGCCAGCCCTTCCTCAGGCAAGCAGGTCTCCAGCCTCATCTGACCACACAGACTCCCTACCTGTGCTCAACACCAGGATTGGTTTGATCAATTTAGATTTCAGCTCTTTCATCAGCCTGGGATGGCTTCATCCATCAGAAGATTCATTCTTTAATTCCTCAGTCTGAAACCCCCCCTCCCCAAGGCGTGTCAAAACATGAGATCTTGTTGATCAGTGGCTCATGTTTCAAATGTGCTCAGGGATGCTTGATGGAAAGTGCAGACATTCTCCCCCCAGGACTAGCTGGTCAAGTGTAAGGTTCAGCTGTTAGAGCAGGCAGACAGCTAGATGTGAGTAGAGGAAGGAGGACACAGGCCAAATGGCAGAAACTAGGCAAAAGAGGAGAGGACACAGGGACAAATGGCAGGAAACCCTACATCACATAAACATGGGTCCCTTGGCAGACAGAGACAAGTAGGAACCTTGGGACTGATAACACACAACTTGGGGTGACAAGAGTCCTGGAGGTCGACAAAAAAAGGTGGGGAAAGGCAGGAATCTCCAGTCTCCAAATGGAACCTTTTGCTCATTATACCCTCATTACAATAAAATCAGTCTTGCGGATTAGAAGTACCCAGCATGCACTGATGCTGTGACACTTCTGACCCAGACTAAATAAGGACAAAAATCCCTCTTCCCCTCCAGAAGGTGGGGCTAGGATGAAAATCAGGGAATATGACCCCAAACTCTTCTCTCCCCAATGAATATCCTGCCCATTCATTTTCACACCCTATAAAACCAGCTTGCCAAAGAAACTTAGAGCAGCTGCTCACCTGAGTCTGCCCACTCTCCCCTTGAGAGCGTCCTATCCCTTAATAAATCCTCACTTTACTGTCTTAACCTCTGTGTCTCCTCTCTGAATTCTTTCTGCAACCAGACGAGAACCTAATCACCAGCAACACAGCCAGGCTGAAGGGATGTTCACACCCTTAGCCTACATTCGAGCCTCTCTGAATAGCAATTCCTCTCAGGTCTGAAGAGTTGGAAACATTTCCCCTGCTCCCAGCCCGGCTCCCCCACCTGAGTGATTCCTTGGTAGGTATGAGACTGTTGGCTCCAGCAGGTCAACCATTTCGAAGCTTCTACTTAGGAAACTGGATTTCCCTTTCTTTGAAGCCATTTGTAGAAGGAAGTCAATGGTGTCTACCTGGCCCCTCTCCCTCTAGAGTCACCTGCTCCCACCCATGCAGGGAAACAGGCCTCCTCCCCCAGGTCTGGGAGTTTCACAGACACCAAGTAGGGCAATGCAGTCCCAGGAAAGGGGATCTGACCAGACATGATCTGAAGGCCCTCAGAAGACAGCACCCCATCCACCCACCTGGGGTCAGGCCAGAGCCCAAGCCACAGCCACCCAGGGCTCCCCCCACCCTCAGAGTCAAACCTAAACTTCTGGGCCAGCACCTGCCTTCACAGCTGCTCCCTGTGCTGCCCACCCCTTCAGCTCTGTCTCCATCTGCCCCTTCTGGGCTGCTGTCACCCATGCTTCTCCCAGGAGAGCCTGCTCATTCACTCTGCCTGCTTACCTCACAGGCCCTACACACCCATCCCCCCCGCCCGGCGGAGGCCTCCTTCGCAGGACCGTGCTGTCACCAACCCCCCAGCATCTTAATTCTCCTCCTGAGGTATCCTGCTTGCTCCTGAGCTCCCACCCCCGGCCCCATCCAGCCTCATGCCAGCATCACCCTGGTGGCAGAAAAAAACAGGAGGAAGGGAAAAGCCAGTGAGGGGGTAAGGGCAGAGCAGCAGGGCCAGCCTGCTTCATGGGTGGGGATG